AAACAAAAACAGCAGACGGGCTGAATGAGACGCAAATGTCACTCTCTGATAGCAGGTGGCACTTAAACAGCAGGTATTTATATGCTGCTGCCCCTTTAAGACCGAATGCATGGATCCAATATAATGATGCACGTGCGATTTCTTTCTCCACTGTTTACATTCATTTAAGACATGAAAATACTTGCCAAGATAGTTATTTTGAGATAATTTTGCTTGTATGTGTCCGTTCAAGCGAAAGAGGAATCAATTCTGTGTTCGTGCTCTGCCTGAAACGCCGCTCTGTATGTGCGCGCGAGCACCGAACTGAATTCTTCATGCGCATGAATGGTTTAAAATGCTTGAATGTTTAAATTGGTAAGACTTAGAAACACGTCAATGATAAACTATGATCCGTTTCACCCCTACAAGCGAGTGAACAACGCAAATCAAGGAAGGGGTTTTATATCACTATTCAAGATAGCCCGTCGGGCAGGGCAGTGATACATTTTGGTAGCCCGACTGGAAAACACAATAGCCTCGGGACGTTGGGCTAGCGATTTTGCGAGCCCTGAACCCCTTCCAGTTATAGAAACTATGAACGTTGCACAAAGATTTTTTTGGAAGCTTTGAAACTAATGAAAATAAATAATCTTTTTATGAAACTATATGCAGGCATGTTTTATTTTTTAGTGTTAAAAATTTTGGCTATCAATGGAATGATTTATTGATTTAATGTTTTTCCAAGAGAAAAGATACAGCATTTATGCAAAACATATTTTTCCATATAATATTTCAGGCACTTTTGGCTTTAAAATGACAGTATTAAACCCAGTTATTCCATTTTGCTTATTGCAAATTATTTAATATAACCACGCTGACTCAATCAATGGCATGAGTTTGGGCTGGGACTATCTGACCAATGCAGGTGTTTAGCAGTGTTCGGGAAACCTGTTAGAAGACAGTCTTGTACTTGGTGTTGCTGGCGCACAAAATACACTCTTCACCTTTTAAAGTTCATTTGAAGTTCAAGACCATTTTTCTGTGGGTTGATGCTGTGCTGAAGGAAGAGTTCACACGTTGATAAGTTCCTTGAGAGTTGAAAGTGAAAAGTTGACTAGCTTTGTGGCTGCAGGTCAGCCGTTACCTTAAAATTCAACTGACATAGGATAATTCCTGATGGAAAACAACGCCAGAAACATCCATTCTGAACCAGGTCAGTATTTTGGTCAATGAGGAACATTGTAGTCATCTTACATTAGACATTCAAGGAGCGCTGCGAGCCCTCGGGCATGCTTCACATTTCCCTCGCACATCTCTCTAGATCTGCGCTATCAGAGCGGATCAGTCGGTTCTGATCTCTTCTCCAGGTGCTGCAGATACAGCTCCCCGGTCATGTTTCCTCCGGCCAGAGCGGAAAAAGAATCAGAACCTTGAGAGATAAGGAAAAGGGCGTCTACAGCAGATAGTGAAGGTTAAGTGCTTTGGATTCAGCCAAGTCCACATCCACGTTTCTCTGCATCACCGAAAAGTGTAACAGACTGAACAACCTTCCTGGTCATGACGAAGTTGTCAGTCCCCAGCATTCTCGATTAATTAATACATTCGATTGCCCACACTGTCCGATGTCAGCCTGATATGAAATCGGTACGATGCTCGCATAAGGTCGTGGAAGTGTACATTTGCATTCGTGTTGGGTGAGTCCTTTATCTGCATTAGGTATGTGCCTGGAAGAGGAGGGAGGGGAGAACACAAGGTTTTCCTCTGGAAAGCTGGCCTGACTCTTCAGTGCATGCCGCCGTTCCCATAGCAACTGCAGCAGCAGCAGCAGGCAGTGTGTGTGTGTATGTGTGTGTGGAAGCAGGAAGTAGGTGCCCAGATCTCCAGGGCTGGAGCAGGGAGATGGGAGGTCTGCCTGACACACGACCATCAGGTCTGTGAGGAAACGTAGGGCTCGTGCAACATGGCGGGCCAACTTTTTCACATCTACAGGCACGTTTGCACTCTCAACAACCTGTGCGCTGAGAACATGATGGTAAGCAGAAGATGACATGGCGACCGGACCATTTCGAGGGGCTTTCACATCTGGTTTCACAACACCTGGTTGCATCATATTTGCTTTCTTGGCAGTTGTGGTGACTATAGTTCGCTAAATGTTCCACGGCTCATTTTAAAGTTATGGATTAATGCATTTTTAGGAATTGCAACTTTTTTTCCTGTCTTGGATTGTGTTTGCGGACTAAACTTTGGCTTTGCATCAGAAGTTTCGCATGTCTGATTCCCAGTGTTTTCGCAGGTGATCTTCGTGCAAGTCAACCCTGGAGAGACCTTCACTATCAGAGCAGAGGATGGATCCCTGCAATGCATTCAAGGTATGTTGTGCTTCCTGTCTCATGCAGTTTCACTTGCAACAGGTTTGAGGTCGTTTCTGGAATTGGGATGGTGCTGTTGTTCTCTCTGTTCCTGTTTGCGTGGTGTTTTTCTAGTTAATGGGAACCATGACTGGTGTGTTATTGGATTTGGAGCTGGTGTAAACCGATGAGAGGCCGGGCGCAGGGCCACGACTGGCATGCTTCTGAGGATGTAAAAGGCAGAGTGTACAATGGCAGATTACAAAGCCTTTAACATTTAGTGTCTTTGTAGCTAATTAACGATGGACAAGATGGACTGTTTGCACAGGCTGCGGTTGAGTTCTCTGAACAGCTGCACAGATAAGGACAGCTCTCGGAGGAGAACATTAGTTTGAGAAGTTGCACAACGTTCTAGTGTGTTGCATTCTAAAAATACAAGAAGGAAATTTGCAGTAAAAATTTGTGTTAATACAAAAGACCTGAATGAATGATATGGTAGCTGGTCACAGTATTTCAGTTAGCCAGTGTTATTTAGTGCAGTGTTTTCCAAACTTTTTTGCCTTGTTATTATATATACACTACTGTTTAAAAATTTAGGGTCAGGAAGATTTTTTTAAGTAATTAATACTTTTATCCAGCAAGGATGCATTAAATTGATCAAAAGTGACAGTAAAAACATTTGTAATGTTATAATGTTCAATTTCAAATAAATGCTGTTCTTTTAAATTTATATTCATCAAAAAATTCTGAAAAACGTTGAAAATATTACAGCTTTTACAAAAATATTAAGTAACAACTGTTCAGCATCAATAATAATGAGAATTTTTTCCTTTTCCTGAGCAGCAAATTTCTGAATTTCTTGATTTCTGAAGGATAATGTGACTGAAGACTGGAGTAATGATGCTGAAAACAGTACATTTGAAAATGTATTCAAATAGAAACATGTATTTTGAATTACATAAATCAAACAGAATTTGTATGTATATAGATGTTATATGTTATATATAATTTCACCGTATTACTGTTTTTTTTCTGTATTAAGAGTGTGGAAATTTTATTGTAAACAATTTATTGTTTTTTTTTGTCAACTGTCACTTTAGAAGCTTTGTTTTATATTTATTTTATTTATGTATTAATTTTGGTAGAGTTTAAGATTCAGACATGCAGACACAATGTAGCGAGTGTGATTATTGGTTTTATACAACCGTCCTATACAATCAAGAAAATCACTAATTATTAAATTTAGACATTGGCAAGGCAGAATATTTAGACATTTATACAGGCAAAATCATAGTTGCCTTAAAAAAACATTGTTACTTAGGGTAACAGAACAGAGATTTCCCTGCTCAAAAGTGATCTTCAGGTTGTGGAGGCATAGATGGATGGAGAGCAGGCTGGATGGGCTGTGAAGGGCACACTGCTGTGATAAGAGTCAGAAACAAGGCTCTGTAGGGCTTGGCAGCAACATGTGTTGACACAAGAATAGAACAACAGGCCAAAGCACTGGCCCTGCTCGTTGACACAATGTGCCTTTGTGTGTTCGGAATCGTCAGCTTTAGGTCCTCACCTGTGATTCCCAATAGCTCTTTTTTTGTGCCTTCAATGTATTAACTTTCATCCATTGTAATCTCAACCAGATTGAGTCATGCCAAGTGTCCTTGTTGCTGCATTTTTGTCAAACCAGTTCCTCCTAAAAGAAAAGCATCAATGCTGTAATTAATGGCTGTACTTGGCTTTAACCTCTCCCTGTGTAAGGTTAAAAACAACAAGGCAGTACTTATGTCAAGCCTTTCAGGTCGTGCCATTGTGTTGAACAGAAGCACACAAGCACATCCAACGCTTAGTGAAAAGGCTCGGCTTATTGCATCACGGCATTGAAAAAAGCAAGGAAAAGCAACCCTGTGAAACAACGAGAACAAGGTGTGGCACACGGAGGAGAGGGGCATTTCAAATGCACGTGTTTACAGAAAAGGTCACTGGGTTTAATTAGAAGCGTCGACTGAAGCACAGGCTCTGAAGTAGCTGCTTTTTACAGAGAGGCTTCTTTGTCATTATGCAAACCTCAGAGCAGAAGCCTAGATTTAGGATTTTATATAAAGTAACCACTGTTTAGCCCGTGGACCGCTGGCAAAACAGAATGCACAGAGACAACTTTTTGAAAATGCTTGTGCCAAAATCACACTTGGAGTCGAAAGGTTTAATTTAAAGGGATAGTTCACCCAAAAATATCATTCTGTCATCACTTACTCACCTCTTGTCGCTCCAAACCTGTATGGATTTCTTCCGCAAAGCATAAAAGAACGGGGCAGTCATGGCCTAATGGTTAGAGAGTTGGACTTGTAACCCGAGGGTTGCTTGTTCGAGTCTCGGGTCCGGAAGGAATTGTCGGTGGGGGGAGTGAATATCCAGCGCTCTCTTCCACCCTCAATACCATGACTGAGGTGAGACCCTTGAGCAAGGCAACCGAACCCCCAACTGCTCCCCGGGCGCTGCAGCACATGGCTGCCCACTGCTCCAGGTGTGTGTTCACGGCGTGTGTGTGTGTTCACTACTGTGTGTGTGCACTTGGATGGGTTAAATGCAGAGCACTAATTCCGAGTATGGGTCACCATACTTGGCCACATGTCACTTTACACTTTTTGTGGTGAAGATTTTGAGAAATGTTTTGTTTTTGTTAATGTGGTTCAAGAAAACCATAACAACATTGGACCCCACTGACTTTCATTGTATAGACAAAAACACTTTTGTGTTGTACAGAATGATATGAGGGTGAATAAATGATGACAGAAATTATTATTTTTTTTGGGTGAACTGTCCCTTTAAAAATGAAAGTTTGTCTCCCAGGCACTTGATTTTTGACTCCAGGCCTCTGGAATTATTGAAGTAGGCTAGCGGAAAAGTGGAAAGAAGAGGCTGTTGAGTAAGAATTTTATAATTAAGGATTCTCTGCTCTTATTGGTCGCTTTCTGTCCTCCCTCATCTTCATCTTTCATTGCAAAAATAGCACTTTTTCCTGTCTTCCCACGTGGAGATCCCACTCACCTCTATTTTTGACACACTTAGATGAATGTTGTGCTGTTATTTTTAGCATCTTAAGCCTCAATTTTTTGACCCAACTCAAATCTTAACCCTTCACCTGCCAGGATCCATTGTAGGCATTGCAACAGCTAGTGTCTTCAACATTTTTGGCTGAGTGGCAGGTCATTACAGTGCTCAGAGCCCTATGTTTACTGAAGTTCCAGCCCGCTCCTATCGCTGCTAATTAGAGTGGAAGAGGTTGAACTGTAATCTTTGTCTTGTTTAAACAGGGTGAACTTTTTCTTTTTCCAGGGGACCGCTTAACAGCCCTCCGCCACAGTCCGTTCTCGGCAGTAAGGCCGCTCCGTGCTGCTTTCCCACACTTTTGCAAACGGAGGGAGGTCCTGCTGTTTGAGTTCAGCCTGTCCTGGGTTGCTCGTTGTCTGTTTTGTGTTTCTGTATGTGTCGTCCCTTTCTTTTTGTTGTTTTGCGAGGTCAAGGCAATGTGTGAAGGCGTTATCTCCAGCATTTCCCCACTGAGGAAGAGCACAGTTGTGTTTTGACTAGCCTTGCTGAGAGATGTGGTGTTTATGAAGGGCAAGTAAAGTGAGTTTTGAGGTTAACTAGGGACACTGGTTCTATTTAAATGGGCAATTCAGCCATCTGTGAGCACTTCCGGTTTGTCATTTACCTAAGGTCCTGGCATGATCAGCCAGCCACTTTCATCTCTAATGCTTTTGGACAGACATTAACCATTTTCATTTGTTTTCCTTCTCTCTTCAGTATCTGCTGATAAGGCGCCAACTGTATTTAAGAGAATTTTTTCCCGTTAAGTCATGAAAACTTGAAATGGCACTCGCAACACATTTTTACTTCTTTAATGTGACATATTTCCTAGTTGAACTGGATATTCAGTGAAAAAAATGGTGCTTGATTTCTTTCCAGTTGGACCAGATTTGCTGGTAAAAAGTAGGGGTTACAAACCAGGATGAAGGTTAGTTACTATAACAATGCCTAGTTAACTTTTTTGCTATGGGTTAACATTATCCAATAGCCAGGTGACATCATCAGAAAAGGAAAGTTGTTTCATAGGTGTAGAAAGTTATCATGTTTTGATGTTTTACAAAGACAAACATGGTTTTTATGTGAAACATTCACTAATGAATTTGCTAATAAAATGTGTATTAAAAGTAAACATATCGAATGTTTATATAATATTTTCATATATTGCTTAACAAATCCATAACCTGTTCACTAGTGCCCCCTGACTGAAATGCTGTGAGTATCTTATGATTGCTATAATGTTGAACATGGGACAACTGTAGACATTTATAATGACAGTCAAAATAAATTGGGGATGTAATGCATCTCAATAAATATGAACATAAAATCGTTAGTATACATTGATTTCGCAGTGTGTTCTTGGCAGTTTGATATGCAATTGAATTAAGATTTCACAGTTGAATAATCCTGTAAGTCCTCTTCACTCCAGCTTGATGAAATTACATGAAAAGCCCCAGTATCTGTGTCTGTACTGCGAGTATGTTTGCGTAATTAAGTGTGTTTTATTGTTTCTGCTCGGAGGAGCTACGGAGAACGGCTTCTCTGCTGTAATTACTGCTTTTGCTGAGAGCACATTATTCTCATCTGCACGCCGTAATTTAGCAATGATGCACGGCAAAAACGTTGCAGTCAGCATGCACTGAATCTGATTTTCTGCACAACGCACACCAAAAAGATTTCATTTATGCCTCGGAAAGCATATCGAAATTAAACATGCTGAATGAATTTGTCAGGAGCCCATGGGAGTCAATATTGACCAGAAAAAGAAAAACAAAAATGAGCAAGGAATACAACATGTTGTATTCTCCGACCGAAAGAGGACAAAAGTGTTCTTGTCCTTGCCATCGGACTGTATCTACATCGACTGAAGGTCATTAGCTATCTTTAGAAAAGCCCCATGAATGGCTATTGTGGCATGAAGTGAGTGACTTTCTCAGCTT